GTCCCCACCACCACCCTCCCCACCACTGTCCCACTGTCCCACTGTCCCCACTGCCCCCCACCAATGTCCCCACTGTCCCCACCAATGCCCCCACCACCGTCGCACTGTCCCCACTGTCCCCGCCAGTGTCCCCATCGCGGTCCCACTGTCCCTACTGTCCCCACTGTCCCCACCACTGTCCCACTGTCCCCACTGTCCCCACCACTGTCCCACTGTCCCCACTATCCCCGCCGCTGTCCCGCTGAGCTGCCCCTCTGTTCCCACCACTGTCCCCACCACTCTCCCCACTGTACCACTGTCCCATTGTATCACCACCGTCCCCACCAATGCCCCCACCACCGTCGCAGAGTCCCCACTGTCCCCGCCACTGTCCCCACTGTACCCACTGTCCCCCACTGTCCCCACCACTGTCCCACTGTCCCCGCCACTGTCCCACTGTCCCCACTATCCCCGCCGCTGTCCCACTGAGCTGTCCCACTGTTCCCACCATTGTCCCACTGTCCCCACCACCTTCCCCGCTGTACCACTGTCCCATTGTCGCACCACCGTCCTCACCACCGCCCTCACCACTGTCCCCACCATCACAGTCCCCACCACTGACCCACTGTCCCCATCACTGTCCCAGTGTCCCCTCGCCACTGTCCTTACCACCACCGTCCCCGCCACTGTCCCATTGTCCCCACTGCCCCTACAACTGTCCCACTGTCCCCATTGTTCCCACCACTGTGCCACTTTCCCCACCAGTGCCTCCACCACTATCGCACTGCCCCCACCGTCCCCACCATTGTCCCCACCACGATCCCACTCTCCCCATTGTCCCAACTGTCCCCACCATTGTCCCACTGTCCCCACTGTCCCCACCACTGCCCCACTGTTCCCACTGTCCCCACCGCTGTCCCACTACTGTCCCCACCACGGTCCCACTCTTCCCACTGTCCCCACTCCCCACCACCATCCCCACCACCGTCCCAACCACTTTCCCCCCCAGTCCCCCATCCGGAGTGGGAGAGGACGGGGAGTCGCTGCGGCGAAGGGGGAGGGGGGGAGGGGGGGAAGGGGGTTCGAACCGGTAGTTACCCCCCGTGGTTTTCCAGGGGGGGGGGAGGTGCTCGAACCGGCAGTGACCCCCCGCTTTCATGATGGACCGGGGGGGGGGGGAGGTTGGAACCCCCAGCGACCCCCCCCCCACTGGGTTTTCGAGAGGGGGGGGGGGGGGTTGGGACCCCCCAGTGACCCCCCCAGTTTTCTGCCAGCAGCGGTAGAACACGCCCTTTCTGATCGAGGTAACTCGCCTGGACATCGTGTCCAGCGTGCAAAACGGCATCCTTGGCGCTACACGGGCTCCTCGTCTTTGTTCCACCCTCCGCTGGGCGAGGCCCCCCCCTCGTTGACGAAACACAAAAAAACACCGGTGCGAGCCGCGCCCCCGTGTGGTTCATCATCCCCTGCTGCACGAAGCCCCTCCCCAAATCGATTGCAACCATAATCCTCGGTGCTAAGGGTGCCCCCGTGCTGTGCATCGCCCTCTGTTGGGCGAGGCCCCCCCAAAATTCCTTCAAAAAGAATCCTCGGTGCTAAGGGTGCCCCCGTGCTGTGCATCACCCTCTGTTGGGCGAGGCCCCCGCCCCCAAAAATTCATGTACAAAGAACCCTTGGTGCTAGGCGTGTCCCTCCGCTGTGCAACACCCTCTGCTGCACGAGGCCCCCACACAAGATGTTCCATGCGAAAAATCATTGGTGCTAGACGGGCCTCTCTTCTGTGCATCACCCTCTGCTAGACGAAGCCCATCCCAAGTCTATGCAACAACAATCCTCCCCTGCTGCACCATGGCTCTGGTTTGGTTCTGGTTAGGGTCAACATGCATTGGCACTGTAAGGATCTTACTGCAAGTCGAACCGCAAATGTGCCCAGGACTGGTCCTGGTCACGGTTCTGGTTCGGGTCGACCGGCCTTAGTAATGTGAGGAAAACACCAACGCAGGCCGAGCCACAACTGTGACCAGGACTGGTCCTGGTCACGGTTCAGGTTCGACTCGATTGGCACAACTACGAATATGATCACGTTCCACATGCAACCCGAACCGCAACTGTGACCATGACTGGTTCTGGTCACGGTTCTGCCTTGGGTCGATTGGAATTCACGGCAGTCGAATAATACTGGCGCAGCCCAGACCAAACCTGTGACCAAGATTGGTCCTAGTCACGGTTATGTTTTGAGTAGACGGCACCAGTAATTTCATCGTAATGCTAATGCAGCCCGAACCACAACTGTGACTATGTCTTGTCCAGGTCACGTTTCTGGTCTGGGTCGATTGGCATGAATGAAACGATACTAATACTAATGCAACCCGAGCTACCGAGACTGGTCCTTGTTCCGGCTCTGGTTTGGGCCGATTGGCATCAGTCGTATCACAATGATATTAATGCAACTGGAACCTCATCTGCGACCAAGACTTGGCCTCGTCCCGGTTGTGCATTCTGTCCAGTGGCATTGGTAGCAGATCAACAATATCCATGCAACCCGAGCCACAACTGTGACCAAGACTCGTCCTGGTCACGGTTCTGATTTGGGTCGTTGGCGATAATCGTATGGTAACCAGGACTGGTCCTGGTCACGGCCGTGGTTTAGGACGATTGGCATCAACAACACAATAATGATTATACGTACGCAACCCGGACCACGACTGTGACCAAGACTGGTCTTGGTCACGGCTGTGGTCTGGGTCGATCGGCATGAATCCGCCACTGCGCTTGCAGCGGTTGGTGTGTGTCGGGCCTATTAGCCTCTTGCGAAACAATAGTTGGGACCCCATGACTCATCGGGCCCAAGATGCGTTCATTGTTGTGGCCAAGCACCTGCGTATTGATCCTTCCAAGCATCGGTGGCTCCACATGCGAGATTTGAGAAGGGGGGTCCGTAGTCCCTCCCCAGAACGCGGTGGCGGAATCGCGCGGCAACGCAGCTGGAGGTAAACTTATAATGATATACGCAACCCAAACAACAACTGTGACCAGCACTGGTTCTTGTCACGATTGTGGTTTGAGTTCGTTGGCAGAAAGAGATTGTAATAATGCTGATGGACCCGGACCGCAACTGTGACCAGGAGTCGTCCTGGTCATTTTTCTGGTCTGGTCGCAATATTATGATCGCATTCGAACAATGCGACCCGACCTGGACCATAATCAAGACTGGTCACAATCACAGTTGTGGATCGGCGTTAGTATTCTCCCGACCCAGCCCAAACCAACACTTAAACCAACTACAGTCATAGTCGTATTCTTACATGAGCCATATTGATAGGATGACGCACCCGATTGCCTTTACCCAGAATAGCTTCTGGTCACAATCACAGTCCGATACTATTAACGTAATTCGAAAAGTGTCCACCTCAGCCAAAACCAGAACCGCACTCATCTGAGCTTCTCTGGAAGGGTTCTCGACGACGCGCAGCTGCTGGAGAGCATCCCGAGGCGACACAATCTTCAAGAGCCAACGACAAATCCCCCCCAGGTGGCAGACTTCGGAAGCATCAGCGTGCCATTGATACGGTCGGGAACTTTCGATTGGCGCGTCGCGGCGGCGGCCCTGGTGACACGCTATGCCCTGCGAGCTAATAGCGTGTCGCCCCGCTCCTCCAGGCTCCAGGCTGGGAGGGGCTCGGACGCTGACGCCTGAGAAGTGCGAAGCGGCTAGCGTGCCGCGCCGAAGCGTGGTGGGCCAGAACCGGTGTCGCGACACGCCAAGCCAAAGTTCCCGACCTTACTCTTGCTCCCGACCCACGCACCAGCGTGCCATTGATACCCTTTTCCACGACCCGCTCTTTATTGGGCGCCCGAACTATCCGGGGTAACTCGGGTCCGGGGTAAGTAGGGTTCGGAATCCCCGAAAAACCAACCCGAGTTAGCCCTGACCCGAGTTACCCCTGATGATTCGGGGCTCTCGACGCCCGAACTATCCGGGGTAAGTCGGGTCCGGGGTAAGTCTGGTTTGGATTCCCGAAAAACGAACCAAGCCGAGTTATCCCTGACCCGAGTTACCCCTGATGATTCGGGGCTCTGACTTTACGATATGCTTGTGGTGTTCCCAGTGCTCCTTTTTAAAGCGTGCGATGCTGGCGGCGACAATCGACGACGATCGATCGACGACCGCTCGACCGCGAGGCCCGCCTCGCTCCGCAGGGAGCGGCGCATGTGCCTGAGCATCGTTGAATCGACCCCTATCCCCAAGGCGGTGGCCTGGGCCCCAGTGGCCGTTTTGCCCTCCTTGCTGGGGTATACAGTCATCGGCCTGACCTAAGGAACGATACATAAGGAACGAAGCCCCTGATTTTTCCAAGGAGTCACGCAGAAGGAACGATATATAGCAAATAACGCATTAAGGAATGATGAACAAGGCATGCAAGCCTAAGGAACGACCGAGCCCCTTTTGAAAAGGAGGCGTTCCTTATTCAAGCCGCTCACTGTATCCCCAACGGCGCCTGCACGCCAACGCCGCACGAACCTACCCTATAGGGATGTGGATGGGGATGCCGGCGGCGAGCCCGCGGGGGAGTGAGAAGGGGCGGGCCTTCTCCGAAGGCTCGGAAGTCCCCCGGCCTGCTGAGAAGCTTTCTGAGCCTGCCCCGGAGACGCAGACGACTCCTCAGAGGGCGCGAGGGGGCTTCTGAGAAGTCCCGCCGCCTTCCTGGAGGGCACGCTCCTCCTCCCCCCCCCCCTTAAAGGGCCCTGGAAACGACAGGGCCGTTTGTGTTACCGGTTCCGTTTTGCCGTTTTTGTCGCCGGTTCCGACGCCGTTTTTGTTACCGGTGCCGTCGCCGTTTTCTGACCGGTTCCGGCTCCGGTTCCAATCCTGGAGCCGTTTTTTTTCCGTTTCCGGTCGCCGTTTTGGTTGCCGTCTCCATTTTCAAGGGGCAAGTTTTTGGAAACAGTGAAAAAACGGCCCTGCCGTTTCCGGGGCCCACAAAGCCCCCCGACTCGCCGCAGAGGGTCGGGGTCGCTTCCACGATGCCGCGTGCCCGCCCTCCGCCAGCAGCTCGCCGAGCTCCCTGCGGAGGGCCAGGCGCACGGCGCCCACCAGCGGGTCCAGCCCCGCGGCGTCCTCCCCCGCCCGGGCCTCCGGCGGCGCCTCGCCCTGGGCCTCGCGGAGGGGCGGCCGCGGGGGGGTCTGGGCCGGAGGAGGGCGCGCGCGATGCTGAGCTCCTGGCCTTGGCAGCTGCCTCACCGCGGGCGCTTTCGCTCCACCTCGGGCCCCAGGACCGAGGAGGAGGAGGAGGAGGAGGAGGAGGAGGAGGGAGGAGGAGGAGGAGGAGGAGGAGGAGAGGAGGAGGAGGAGGAGGAGGAGGAGGAGGAGGAGGAGGAGGAGGAGGAGGCGGAGGAGGAGGAGGAGGGGGAGGGGGAGGGGGGAGGGGGAGGGGGGAGGGGGAGGGGGAGGAGGGAGGGGAGGAGGAGGAGGGGGGAGGAGGAGGAGAGGAGGGAGGAGGAGGAGGAGGAGGAGGAGGAGCTCACAGATCGCTCGGGACCGGAAACCGACGCGGACAGATAGGGTCTTCAGGGCTCGGGTCGGGCAGTGTCGCGATGCTGCACCGCTTCTGCCACGTCGGACCCCGGGGGACCGCGAAGGGCACGCCCGCACTCGCGTGCCACAGGAAGAATTTGGCAAAAAACAACTGGCGTCGGGCCAAGGGAAAAGGCATGACAAGGAAAGCACACGTACACGACAAAGAAAGATAGGAGTTTAATGAAATACACGAAACAACTAAGACATCGGACTCCTCCAAAAACTGTGTACCCTTAGAGTCATTTCAGCAATTTTCTGCAATTTGTTTAATGAGGGGAGGTCGAACTCGTCCTCAGCGACCTCGCCCGCTCTCCGCCCCTCCGCGGCCGCCCTCCCCGGCGTCGCGGCAGCGTCCCGCGCGAGTCCGTGCAGCGCGAGGCCGCGCGTCGAGACGATCGGTCAAGAGGGAGGGCCCTGACCGATTGACAAAATTGGGGCGACGGCTTGAAATTCTTCACGGTGTCGAAAGCAAATCCGTTCAACATCGGTGCATAGGCTTTCCTGGCCAGGGCAGGAGGTCGTATGCACAGATCCTGGGCTCAGGATGGGCCTGGCCAGAATCGGTGCATGTGCATACTTCTCTTTCCTCGACCATGGGGGCCCCGAGGCGGCATACGGGCCGAGACGTAGAACGATGTTGACAACCGCCCCTTGCGATGTGGTTTTTGTCCGAGGGGCCTGCTGGCCCGGGCTGCGCGGGCCCCGCGGCCTCTGCCTCTTCGGCCCGAGGCGCCAGGGCCGGGGGACGTGCTGAAAGAGGCGGGGGCCGCGAGATCCGGCGAGATACCATGGCCCCGGCCATGCTACCCAACCCCGCTATACAGATGTATATTTATATATGTGTATAAACTGTAATATATATATATGTATATTACAATATATACACATGTATATATATGTATATATGTATATGTGTATGTATGTGTGTATATGTATGTGTGTATGTATGTATGTACGTATGTATGTATGTATGTATGTATGTATGTATGTATGTATGTATGTATGTGTATATATATGTATACATATAGAGATATAAGATCCAGGGCTCCCGCCTCCTCCCCCTCCCATGCTGACGCCTTCGGCCCCCCCCCCGCGTGGCCCTGTGGGCGTGGCGTGGTCGTTCTCGTGGTCTTGGTCATGGTCGTGGTTGTCGTCTTCCTTCGTCGTCGTCGTCGTCGTCGTCGTCGTCGTCGTCGTCGTCGTCGTCGTCGTGGACCAATCTCATCTGGGGGGTGGCCTGTGAACCCTCAACCCTGGATCACCTCCTCCACGGGATCAAACGTTGCGAAAAATTGCAGGGTCGCGAAAAATCGCGACCCGAGTTCTGGGCCCAGTCTTTCTGACGCAGCTTCGAGCCCGATCGATCTGGGATGGCCCCCGGGCACGACATCGGGCGAGGCCGCATGGCGTGCAGAAACTGCCCCGCCACGCTCTCAGGGCCTCTTGGCCGCCCCGACCCAGACATGCTACGTGGTGTTTTCTTCAATGTGGGGTTCCTGGAGGCCTGTGCCCCTTCCCCGGGGCCCGTTTCTCATCCCGTGCTGCTTTTCGACGGTCCGGGGGGTCTGGCGAGGGCGCCCAGGGGCCGAAGCTTGCCACCACAACGCGGCCTTCTTTTTGCAGTGCGTTGCAGGTCTGGGTTTCTGGGTCCTAGCTCGGCTCTCTGGCGGCCGTCTGGGACGATCCAGGCACCCACGGAACGCTCTCGACGGGGAGCAGCTGATGGCTAGCATCCCGTCATTGGAAACCCGCCGAAGACCCACGAGAACGTCTGAAAGCCTCAAGTCTCGATCCTCGAAACTTCGCGGCTCCTGCGGCCATTGGACCCCGGCGTTGCAATCTTTTCGCAGCGGGCGCTTTCGCTCCATTTTGGGCCCTATAGGACCCTCACAGATCGATCCGGCTCGAGAAATGACGCAGCAAGATGGGGTCCGGGCCTCCGGTGGTGATCTCTTGCGGCGTCGCAATGTTCTGGCAGCGCCGGACCTCAGGGGCCTGCTCGGGAGGGCTGCGCGGTCCCTCGCGGCCTCTGCTCCGGAGGCAACGAAACACACAGACACAATGAATCCTCGACTCCCCAGAACATATGGGAAAATATGGGAAGTGGGGGGGGTGAGGCAGACACCCAGAAACTATGGGAAAATATTGGGAATATCTTTATTTGTGTGTATTTATTTGTGTGTCCCAGGGCCCCTTCGTCTGCCTCCTCGGCCCGGGGCGCCGCGGGCACGGCCGGGCGCGCGGGGGGCGGCGCCCGCGAGCTCATCGCCGGCGCCCGCCCCCGGCGGGGCGGCGGCGGCGGCGGCGAGGCGCTGTGCGGCGGGCCCGGCCGCGAGCCGCGGCGGCTTTTCGGCCCGGCTGCGGAGGCAATGGGGGCCCCCCCGGCCCTCAGAGCCCCGAAGCAGGAGCTGCGCCGCAGCAGCACTGCACTCCGAGCAGGAGCGGGATCTGGAGGAGCGGAGGGCCGACGGGCGGAGGGCCATAGAGGTGGGCGGGAAGCCGGAGGGGCGCGCGCCGGCCTGGCCAGGGGAGGCCGCGCTCGCCCCCGCGAGGCGGCGGAGAGGGCGCGCAGGGAGAGAGAGAGAGAGAGAGGGCGCGGCCACTCCCTCTCCTCCCCGAGCACTTCGCTGGCCATCGCTCGGACGTCCACTCCCCGTGTTTTTGTGCGGTTTCGTGCGCGTTTTTTTTTCGCCAAGCGATCAAGGATGCTCCTCGCCGAGGAAGGAACGCACACGTCCGAGCGATGCCAGAATAGAAACTATAGGCCTCCTCGATGGGGTCGGAGTAGATGGGGCCGGAGGATCGCGCCGCATCGCCGACACCTCGGCGATGCATCGCCCATGCATCGGCGATGCATCGGCGATGCATCGACGACGCCAGCGTGGAGAAAATCGGGCTCCACGTCCAGCCGCACCGCCGAGACACCGACGACACGGCGCGACCCTCCGACCCCATCTGCTCGGACCTTCCAGGAGGGCTAGAAAATAGCACCAGGACCTCGATGTCTTAATTCCTGCCGAGGTGTAAAGCAGCCCAGATAGGTCTATAGGTCTGGAGGGCTATTTTTTAGCACTCTGGAAGGTCAGGCTACTCGGACCCCCTCTGGGAGGCCTGGAGAGAGCGGCGGTCGCGAGGGAGGGCCTCCCGACCCCAGACCTGCTCGCGCGTGCTGGCGACCTCAGGGCGGGAGGCTCTTGGCCCGGGGCCCTTGCCGGGCCGGGGGGCCGTCAAAGAACTACAGTGGGGGCGTTGACCTAAGGAACGCTAAATCAGGAACGAGGCCCCTTTCTCCCATCAGTTGAAGTTCGATTTCCCATCGAAAACCTAAGGAAAACCTAAGGGAAGCTGTGAAACCATCAAGGAACACGGAGCCCCTCCCCAACGAAAAGGGTTCCTTCTTCAGGGCCCCGACTGTACTCAGGATGAAACATTGGTCCCGGGGACGGGTCGGTCGTTTCGGGGACTGGCCATCGCTCGGACGTCCATTCCCCGTGTTTTTTTGGGGGGGGGGGGTCGTGCGTGGTTGTTTCGCCAAGTGATCAAGGATGCTCCTCGATGGTCCTCGCCGAGGAAAAAAAGCACACGTCCGAGCGATGCCAAGGGGACCCCGTACTGAAAACATCTCCGGTCGTCCCAAAAGGGGATCCAGCTGAAAGGGGGTGGTGCAGTAGACTTGGGGCAATTGTATTGCAAATGCATTGCGCCAGAGAATTGTATTGCATTGTATTGCAGCTACTGTATTGCACGCGAAAACCAGCAATATGCTTGCGCACCACCGGAATGTATTGCACAGCCCGAACCGATTGCAACCCACGAATCTATTGCACCAGAACTACTGCACCACCCCCTTGTAGCTGGACCCCTTCCTGGGCCCGCAAGAACATCAATACATCGTATGTCTGAGGAGATCCAGGCGCTGTCATTTCTGTTTTTCTGATCAAGCGTTTCCGCCCGGCTTCGGGCCCCATGGGCCCGCACATATCGACCCGCCTCCGCCTCGAGACAGTAGCAGAAGGGTGGGTTCCAGGGTCCCGGCCATGATTTTCTGCAAACGTTGGACTGTTTTTTGCGATGTCGGATCTCACGGGGGCCCAGACATGCTCGCGTCCTCGTGATGTTTTGCAACGGTGTACATTGTTTTTCTTGGCGATGTCGGATATCTCAGAGAGCCCAGACGTTTCGCGTCCTGACAAAACTCAGGGCGGCAAATTTTGGAGCCGTTTTTGTTAGGCCTCTGGGGGCCCCTGCCCCTTGCCGGGCCCCGGGACCGTGAAAAAACTACGATTGGGGATCAGTCAGGCCCTGTAGGATCCCGCAAGATCCTGCAGGATCCTGTCGAATCCTGTTCTCAAGCCCGGGTCAATGCACCCCTGGCCCTGCAGGATCCTGCAAGATCAGGCGCTCTCGCTGACCCTCGTTTGAAGTAACCCCCGCCTCTTGAGCCCCGAGACTAGGATGAAGAGACAGTCCCAGGCAAGGGGTCGGGACTTCCTGGAAGCCCTGAGATCGGGGCGTTGCGGCTTCTTCACGCCAAGCGGTTTCGCCAAATGTCTGGCCCTTAGGCCATTACAGATCGATCCGGCTCGAAACATGTTTCAATGGGGTCAGGGGCTCCAGCCGTGATTTTTCGCGACGGTGCAATATTTGAGTCCGAGCAAGTGGGGTCGGAGAATCGCGCCGCATCGCCGAATCGCATCGGGGTCCAGTGGGTGAGGAGGGGTCCTGGTCTGGGATGGGAAGTCAGCTTGGGGGAGTGAAAAGAGTGTTTCTGGTCTGTCATTCCACTCCTCTCACCATTCTCACGGCCGACCGCAAGGTGCCCGAGGCGAGCTGCCCTTTCTGCGTGTACGTTCGGCGTGTGGGCTTGCTGACGCTTTAGGTGGAGAGTCGCACTCACCCTTCCCAAAAACAGAAATCAGGATGGCGTGATTTGTGCTACCATTATGTCGGGCATGTCCTCCTACAATCAAAACATATGTTTTCGTTGATTATCAAATCACTTTTAAAACTACTTGGGGAATCTCCCGGAAATGCGTCGGAAAAGCTACGGTCCCTGCTGGATGCCCCTTAATACACAGCGCCCTGCAAGCCAGACCAAGTGGGCGTCTTTTCGACGCCGTGTAACCTATGGCCGCATTTGTTTCGCTACAAAAGAAACTCGATCTACATCCAATTGCTTCGCGTTCGCGCGAGAGCGAATCGACCCTGCTGCGACCTCAGCCGACTCCGCGCGGTTCGTGGCCGCTGTGCCCTTTCACTTCGGGGACAAGCGACAGACGCCGCATGTGCCCTGAGGACGCGCGAAGGGAACCACCAGAAAACAGCCACTCCAAACGTGTAGACGATCCAACGGAAACCGCTGATTGCAACACGCGCAAATTGAAAGCGAGACGCGCCGCAAAATAAAAATAGGGGTCCGCGGGTGCTGGCGGAACGCCGCAAGTTCGTTTTTTGATCCATCGGTCGATCGACCAATCTTCCGATCGACCGATCGACCGGCCCCCCTCCCCCACGTCCTCCTCCACCCCGTTCCAAGTTGCAAATGACTGTCATTAGCAACGAGGGAGGGTGAGCGGGAAAACTGGATCCAAAAATGGATGCAAAAGTCTGGGCCTTTTTTCCGTCTGGAAGCTGCGTGACGCGCGCATGACGCATCACATGTTTGATGCGCACGCGCGTTGAGAGCCATTCCTCCAGCGGGATCGGGCACGCGGAATGAGGCCGCGACGCTTCTATGGCGCGGAACGACATGCGCTCGGTAACATAAGCGGCACGCTGTTCAGCCCGCGTGGGCACCGCATCAGCAGTGCGCGTCGCGCGCGTGGCACCCCTTGCGCAGGGCATCTGAACCGCTAGCGAGCCCACTAATTACATCATGTGCCGCAGCGGCGCGATGTCGGGCGAAGGGGGGTAGGGGGGGGCATTGCTACGAAATGTTCGCGCCCTCGAGGAAAGGCGACGAGACCCGCCCGTGGGCCTCGGTCCCGGGGCACTGGCGGCAGACAAAGCACTCGGGGGTCGAACGGAGCTGGATAGAATATAGACAAACTGGCATCCACACGCCAGCGGCCCAGAATGCCCTCAGAGCTCCCCTGCTGCTCGCGTCGCGTATTCTGAGCACCGAACGGCGAATGGCCCGCCTCCAGCACGACGCCCGCGAACCAATAGGGAAGTGCTCCAAGATGCGTGCCGCCTGCCCTCGGCGAATCCCTGCCTCAGCAAACCTGCGCACGTCGCATGGGCAAAACTTGCGGAGGCCAACCAACTCCCCCTTGGTCCGAGCGGAGAACAGTGGGAGAGGCCATGCCCCACTCTAATTTCCCTGCGGGGGCAGACGTCGTGGGGGGGTGCCACGCTGGCGATCATTATCCCAGGGCCACATCCTCAGGCCGGCGAAGCACACGTCGCCCAAAGGCCGGCGACAATTATGCACCGTCCCAGGGACGCTGGTGATGATGGTGATGGTGATGATGATGGTCATGGTGATCGTGATGGCGATGTCGATGGTGAAGACGATGCCACGATCATCAGGACGATGATAAAATGAGGATAGCGGTTTTGCCCGATGCGGCGAAGGGACACAATGATAACGATGATGATGACGAACTGGGCTCCAGAACGCTTTCGGCAGGATGTAGAGCGTACGAGTGTACACATCCATAAGGGCTTGTTCTCAAGTAAGATTGGCAAGACTTGGCGCAAACATGCTGTTCAGATCGTGTGATCTCTCTCCAGACGGCCAAATGTGAGCAAGCGCGAGACACGTGCAATGCGCGAGCGCGGTTGCTGCAGACTTGATGAACATGTATGCGGTTCACATACCAACAACATGACACCTTAAAAATACTATGCGTATCAAGAGCGCCGGCGAACATTAAGCCATCATCTCGCGAGGGCTGGCGATAACTATTCTTCGGGACCAAATGCCGACGAACATTAGGTTGGTGCCAAAAAGCGCGCGCTGTACAATTACAATCCCCACGCTTAAAAAGAGAAATGCAGGATCATACCCGGACCAAGGACAACCAAACGGCGAGGAGGAGGAGGAGGAGGAAGAGGAGGAGGGAGGATGTGTAGGAGGTGGAGGAGGAGGAGGAGGGGGAGGAGGAGGAGGAGAGGGAGAGGAGGAGGAGAGGAGGAGGAGGAGGAGGGAGGAGGAGGAGGAGGAGGAGGATGAGGAGGAGGAGGAGGAGGATGAGGAGGAGGAGGAGAACGACGACGAGGAGAAAAGGAGAAAGGAGGAGGAGGAGGAGGAAGAGGAGAAGG